CTTAAATATTCTGTGATTCTGTGAACTGTGGCTAGCAGTTGCTAGATAGTAAAGAATGTTGTGCGGAGTTGTAAAATCACAGAAAATGAGATCTGCGTGGGGAAATTAGCTCAATCTATCCTCTTCTTAATCTTAGGAAGAAAATGAAACTGGTTTTTGAAATAAAAAACAAGCTGTTCTGCGAGTGGTGGAACCAGCAGAGCCTGGTTTCCCTTGGATTCGATCCCCTCAATTCTCCGAGGCCTTCCAGCAGCACAGCCCCGGGATCCCTTCCCCACATTGCCATTGCCAAACAAAGGACGCACCAGCTACACTCTGCAGATTGCCCGGCTGGCCGGCTGCTGCCAAGCAGACCAGGCAACAGCTGAGTCCTTCCTTCCTCCCACTGGGAACAGATTTGGGCATCTCACCTCTGCCCAGCTGCTGCTTGGCATGAAATGCCCATGAATATAATAACACCTGGGAGACCTTTTAATTTGATTTAATGGAGCAGAGCTTCAAAAGTCACTGGTGTGACCAGGTGCAACCAGTGTCTGCTGACCACAGAACTGCTGAGCATGAGTGTCTGCTCAGACGTGTGGGACAGGGCCTGGGGACGGAGGGTGTTCGCTGCACCAAAACTCTTCTCACTTGGAAGGACCCTGTTGTAGAGGTGCCGTTTGAGCCTGGTGTTCTCTTCCAAACGCAGCTTGTTGAAGCCACTGGGAAACAAACAAAACTGAGGTCATCTTCCTCTATGTGCTTTGCAAGCAGGCATATAGTGAAAATACCACCAAACTTCTTGTTTAAATATAGAAGCAGTGTTTATTCGTATTGCTAATGTTTCCCATAAGCACATGCTTTTATTGCATAAGGATATTCCCGATTAAGAGCGGGACTGGCTACTTTACTATTAAAATTCTGCACCAGTGCAGTGCTGACAATATTGAAGCTTTGCTAAATGTGTATACATGTAAGTTCATTAAATGGATGCTGACTGTTGTTACACAAGTACAGCAGATGAGTGCTTTCTGCATTAACCTTATCACCTGATGGGCAAAAGAAAGGGTTTAAATAAAGCTTAGGACTAATTGAACAGCATTTCAGTATTTTCTTATGTAAAACTGGTTCTGGTCTATTGTTTTTATTTATTTGCAATAACTGTGCTCATTCAAGTTTGTAATGACACTGCCATGGGTGAGCAGAATTTGCTTTAAGTATTATTCTCTCTTTTCCTATCTCCTGCCCCCTTCAAACGGTGTTTCTCAGGAGTAAACCTGCACGAGAGCCTGCTACAAAGGCAACTCGTTAAGCACCCAGCCATTTTTGGAGATAGGCTCTCAAGCTGTGTTTTCAAATTACTTTAAAAGTTCCTGTTTATTTTCCCTGCCCGCCTTGGGTATTTCCTTGCAGGCTGCAGTGGAGTAGGAGCAGAGCTCTTTTCCAAGAGGAGATAGGAGAGAATTAGCCTCCCATTTAAAGGTGGGAAGCCTCTCGCTGTCAACATGCAGCTCTCGGGCTGCACAAACCAGGAGCTCTTTCTTCGCTCGCTTACCACTAGAGTATGCTCTCGTGCTACAAGTCCCAGGGAATTTTTTTTTTTAATATAAATCAATGTGTGTAGCAGCACAAGGCCACATTTCCAAAGCTTTCGCTTGCCCTCATGCTTTTTTGGGAGCGCGGCTTTTTTACAGCCATCACCCCCATCTTTCAGGCTTTGCCAACACTCTGGAATGAGGTGAATTTAACTCGGGCTTGGACAACTCTTTGCTTTCAATTTATGGGTGAAAGCTGTTAAAAATACACGGTTCGCACCCTTAATAAACACACGAAGAGGGTTCCCTCGTACTTCTTGTCTCTGTCAGCTTTCTGGTTTGTGCCTGGGGAAGAAAGGGAAGTAAAATCTCCCCAGTTGAAAGATTTCTGCTTGCAGGAGAAAAACACCCTCTGCAAAGCGTTCGTGCCAACATAAAGTGTGCCTGTAATCCTGCCCTTTGAAAGGGCAGCAGTTATTCAATGAGAAAAAGGCTGTTGTGAACCTGCCCTACCGTATTAGAGCAAAATACTTTGCCACTGGCACCATAAAAGTTCCAGTTTCTGCGAGACAAAGATATAAAACAACTTGCAGGACAATTAAAGAATAGTTTGCCCTTACCATATGATTACCAGTTACTGTTGTGCATTTTGATATCCGTGTTTAAATTGCTACCTCCCCCATCAATATAATTGTAATCAGTCACGGTTAACATTGTCTTTGGGTGCCTTTTCCAAGTTAAATACAAAGGCAGCAAAAAGCTGCAAAGAAGAAAAGCCGCGCTCGGGATAAAGAGCCTCGCCACCCGCCTGCATTCAGGAGCAGACTGTGCACTTTGCTGCTAAAATTACATTTTAGCAGCCCCAACGGGTGCGGGAACAATGTCCCCTCTCATTTCCATAGTGACAATGGCTGGCGGAGGATTGCAACATATCTTTTTCTTCTCCCCGATGAACCCCAGCCAACAACAGGCGAAACCTGCCAACAAGTGGAGTATATTGAAGCGCACTGGGTCACCACGGAGCCGAGCAGTTGCCTCCTGGATGCAAGGCAGCTACTCGGGCCCAGCCATCACGGAGCCAGTGTTTATACCCTGAAATACCAGCTTCTTCCAGCAACCCGATTAACTTCTGAGTGGGTCACAACGGCGGTTTCTTTGGCTGCAACTAAACTGTGCAAAAAAAGCCTTCTCTGAATTACCTTTATATCTTTATCAGTTCGTGCCCCTTTTATTCTTTTTTTTTTTTGTGCTTTTTGTGTTTCAAAATAGTCCTTCAGCATCAGCCTCTCTGTTCCTCAGAATCTGATATGCGGTTTTTCAGTCGTGTCAACCCTTAATCCTGCGTCTTTTTTTTTTTTTTTTAATAAATGCAAACCTAATTTTCTAACGTTTCCACTTAGATCTAATCCATAAGGCTGTTTATTATCCCAGTTACCCTCTTCTATACCTTTTTCATTTGTATTCAAAAGCCTCCCTTTAATCTGTCTCAATTCTCTAGGTATGGCCTCGCTGGTCTTTTGTACAATCCCAAAATGATTTCTATGGATGCGTTTTAGTCTTCTATCGATAGGTCTCAGGATTTGATTTACGTTCTTTAACTACTCCCTCAGCGTGAATTGCTGTTTTTAATATTCTATACGCCATCACTTTCAATCCCTTCCTTCATCTGTGTTTCGTGTCTCCTCATTCGGGGCATAAATCTTTATTATTTGTACATAATGCCACATTCGTACTTTAAACATTAGTTTAAGCAAGATGTTTAAAGCAAAGTAATATGTCTCACAGCCTTTGCCACTGCACCCCCTCACCCCAGCAGGGCCCAAATTTGCTGTTTAGCTCCGTCTTTACATTGGTTTTAGCAGCAAAAGAGGAACCATTACGACAAGTCAATATGTGGTGTTCAGAGAGTCATGTTTAAAATGCAGTGGTTGAAGTGTGGTGTTTAATGAGAGTGGTGGGGACACGTTCACGTGCTGCTGAAGAGTGTCTCCAGGTGAAAGGCATCAGAAAAGCAGGCTTGAAATTGGTGTGAGGGAAGAGGGCATGGCAGAAAGGAGAAAGAGGGAAGAATGAGGGTGCTGCAAGATGAAAACCAACCCTGGTGCATGGGCATGGAATCCAAGCTCTGGAACATTTTGGAAAAATAGGATAAAACTGGCTGAGGTGGGGAAAGGAGGCTAAGGAGCAGGGATGCTGGTATGATTGGGTGGAGGCCGGTAGTTCTGGCCCTCAAATACTGTTCTTCTTATCCAAGGAACACAGCTGGACCTAGAACTAGAGGAAACGGCCACAAACTGAAGCACCAAAAGTTCTGCAGAAACTTAAAAAAACATTTCTTGACAGTGAGGGTGCCCGAGCCCTGGCGCAGGCTGCCCAGAGAGGCTGGGGAGGCTCCTGCTCTGGAGATCTTCCCAACCTGCTTGGACACAGCCCTGTGGCCCGTGCTCTGGGTGACCCTGCATGTGCATGGGGTTGGACTGGATGATCTCCAGAGATCCCTTCCAACCTTAAGGATTCTGTGATTCTATGACCTAAATTGCAGGATGCAGACTGGACACTGGTGGGACTGGTGCTCTTCTCATTGGTGGCCAGTAATAGGACAAGGGGTAATGGGCATAAGCTGAAACACAGGCAGTTCCATCTCCAGGTGAGGAGCAACTTCTTTACTTTTAGGGTAACAGAGCAGTGGAACAGGCTGCCCAGGGAGGTTGTGCAGTCTCCTTCTCTGGAGGTCTTCAAAACCCGCCTGGATGCCACCCTGTGCCACATGCTGTAGGTGTGCCTGCTTGAGCAGGAAGGTTGGACTAGATGATCTCTAGAGGTCCCTTCCAACCTTGAATATTCTGTAATTCTGTGACATGTCTCTCCTCTTGGACACCAGTGGGACACGTCACCCCATGGACACCAGTGGGACACACGTCTCCCTGGGGGCACAGGTCAAGGGAGGGCACTGGTGGGACACAGGTCGCCCTGCACACTGGTAGGAAACGTCTTCCTTGGGCAGTGGTGGGACGTGTCTCACTTGAGACACCATCTCGCCCCGTGGAGCCTGTGGAAAGTGCTGGATGGGGCGGGTCGCTCTGCACCCCGCCATGTCAGAGCGCCCCCTCCCTCAGCTGCCCCTTCCCCCCCCCGCTCCTCGGTAATGGTCTCCTCCCCCCTCCCCCCCCGCGAATGGTCTCGTCCCGCTGCACTCCCTCTCCTCACCGCGGGGGGCGCGGGCGGCCCTCGCCCGGGATGTACCAACTCCTCCCGGCGGGGGGGAGCCGGGGGGGGGTTAGTGCGTGGCGGGGCGCACCGCTAGCTCGCCCCGACGGGCCCGCAGCCGCCGCCGCCTTTTCACACTTCCAGCTCCCTCTCGGGGCGGCCGCTGCCCGCGAGGCGGCCGCGGAGGGCGGGCAGCGGGGCGGTGCGCCCCCCTTTCCCCCCTCGCGGCGCGGCCGGGTGGAGCAGCCCGCGCACCGCCCGCGGAAGCAGCGGGCGCGCATGGCGCCGGCGGCCGGGGCGGCCGGGGCGCTGGGCGCCGCTGTCGCCGCCGTGTACGCGGCCACGCTGCCGCCCGCCCTGCCCGGCGGCGACGCGGGTAACGTAGCCGGCACCGCCCGCCCGCTGCCATGGAGGGGGGTCGGCCCTCGGCGGTGGGTGCGCGCCCCAGCGCGGCAGCCGCTCTGTGTGTGTGGGGGGGACATGGGAGGGGGTCACCCCATAGGGACAGCGGCCCCACGAGGGCAGCTCCTTGTTGGGGTAGGGGTCACCCTATAGGGATGGGCACCCCCATAGGGACACTCGCTCCTTTGGGGCTGGTGCCTCGAGGTTGCCCCACTCGTAGGGGCACTGGGTCCATAGGGGCTGGGCTGTCACGGTCACCCCGTCGGCTCGTGCCCCATAGGGCTGGTGCGTCCACCCATAGGGTTGCTTGCCCCGTGGGAGCTGGTGCCTGCCCTGGCTTGGGGCTTAATTCCTTGTTGGGGGTCACCCCGTGGGGCAGGGCCACCGGGGTTGGGCTGTGGCTCCCCGTGTCGCTGCTGGCCATGGAGGGCCTGTGCCTTGTAGCCCGCTGAGGCTGAGCCTGCTTGGGCTGGAGGCGTCCTGAGGAGCCTCCGCGCCTCCGTGATGCTCCAGCCCCTTGAAAGTTGGAACTGGCTGGATGGCTGAGCTTGGAGGGTGGTGATAAATGGGGTGAGCCCAGTTGGAGGCCTGTGGCTGGTGGTGGCCCCCAGGGATTGGTACTGGGCCTGGTGCTGTTCAGCTTGTTCATCGATTGCCTGGACGAGGGCACTGAGGGCACCCAGAGCAAGTTTGCGGATGATCCCAAGCTGGGTGGAGCGGCCAATACTCTGGAGAGCTGTGCTGCCATCCAGAGGGACCTGGACAGGCTGGAGAGTTGGGCAGAGAGGAACCTCATGAGGACAAGTGCAGGGTCCTGCACCTGGGGAGGAATAACCCCCGGCACCAGTACAGATCAGGATTTAACCTGCTGGAGAGCAGCTCCACGGAGAGTGACCTGGGAGTCCTGGTGGACACCAAGTTACCCGTGAGTCAGGAATGTGCCCTCGTGGCCAAGGAGGCCAACGGGATCCCGGCTGCATCAGGAGGACGTGGCCAGCAGGGCAGGGAGGGGATCCTGATCCTGCCCCTCTGCTCCGCTCTGGGGAGGCCAAACCTGGAGCACTGGGGGCAGCTCTGGGCTCCCCGGGACAAGGGGGACGTGGAGCTGCTGGAGAGGGGCCAGCGCAGAGCGACAGGGATGGGGAAGGGGCTGGAGCAGCTCATGTGAGGAGAGACCGAGCGAGCGGGGCCTGTTGAGCCTGGAGAAGAGAAGGGGGAGAGGGATCTGATCAACATGGACAAACACCTGAGGGGAGGATGGAGGGAGGAAGGGGCCAAACTCTTCTGGGTGGTGGCCAGTGCCAGGACAAGGGGCAGTGGGGACAAGGTGAAGCCCAGGCAGCTCCGTGTGGCYGYGAGGAAGAACTTGTTTGGTGTGAGGGTGCCCGAGCCCTGGCCCAGGCTGCCCAGGGAGGCTGCGGAGGCTCCTGCTCTGCAGATCTTCCCAAGGCGCCTGGATGCGCCCGGGTGCCCCGTGCTCTGGGTGTCCCTGCTGGAGCAGGGGCTGCGCTGGGGGATCCCTAGGGATTCCTTCCAACCTCAGCCATCCTGGCGTTCTGTGGAAGCGAGGCTGAATCTGTGCAGAGCAGCTCTGACCCTGCACGTTTTGGAGTGAGGGAGCTGGGAGCACAGTCAGGTGCCCAGTGTTGTCCTCGTGGATGGAGCTTCACCGGGCTCTCCCTTGCTGTGGTCAGGAGACTGAAAAGTGACTTTCTGTGCTGATCTGATCCTCTCCCTTGCGCCCCAAATCACGCTGCTTCCTCAAAGAACAGGACTTTCTAGCAGGTAGTGCTGGAGCCTCTCGCAGAGCTTTAGAAAGAGCCCTTGAGGGCAGCATCAGAGGCCCAGATGTGCCATCGTGCCAGATGTGCCATCAGGAAACACGTTTCCTTCCTTCAGCACACACAGCTACAGTCAGAACAGCAGGAAGATTTATGGATTTGTCTTTCTGGAAGTGGAGCTGGCAGCGATGTACAAACGATCTGCTGCTTAGTTTTTCCTTCTGCTGTTTGCAGTGGAAAAAAAAAAAAATCACCCGTTTGGTGCCTTTGTGGTTTTGCTCATTTAGCCTGATCTTGCTTAAATTTCTTGCTCTTTGTAGCAAGTGTGTAACTGTGATTGGGGGACAGGAGGGCTTGTATTTTCTCAGGTGATGCTTTGATTTCTCTTTCTCTCATGGATTTAGGTACTTAGATGTAATTTTTTCATCTTCCAAAAGAGAGTTGAATGGGTATGTCCAGCTGTGCCTCTTGACCATCTCCAGTTTTAGATCTAAACTGCACGTAAAATTCTGTATTAACAAATGGGCTTTTAGTAGATACATATATTTTCAGCTTGCTGCGAACACAAGTATATATGTGTATTTATATAGACCTATTTTAACCTCATTTCTTTAAAAGTTTGGCTTTTTTTTTTGAGCTATATGAAAGACAGTGTTACCTGGCAGATTTAGGGTGCTATTTGTATAACCATATTTAAGGTAGTGTGCATTTAACATAGCTCTTTGCATGCAAGGTGAGTGGTGATTCAAGTGATAATTACTTTATTTAAAGGTCTTGTTTTAATAATCAAGCCCTTGATTTCATTACAGAAAACTCCTCCTGGTTATTTGGTGCTCAGAGAGTTCCTTTTGGCCCGCAGATGGATGTTTGTGCAGCTTGGGAGCTATTCATTTTTAGTATATCCATGTCTGTAGGCTCCAGCCTAGATCAGAGGGACCCTGTTGTGCTAGTCAGAGCTGCCAAATATTTAAAGAATTTATTTTGAAATCCCCTCTCCAGAGAAATTACATCCCACGCTCTAGACAAGACACTCAAATATCCCCCTTGGTAGGCTGGTGTGCTGCCTCATGGCCTTTGCTTCTCCTCCAAAGTTTATAAAGGGCTGTCCTTGCTTATTCTGCTTTTATTGGTTAATATGTGCTAATCAATATATTCTTGGTTATTATCATTTTGTCTTCTAAAGTACTCCCTGTTGGGAAGCAAACATCCATTAATGCGCATGGTGCCTTTGCTCAGAGCTGTTGGTTCTGTGATAAGCTTCTGAAACCTGGTTTTTAATTGTACTTGAGCTTGGTTTTTGCCTCCAGGATGCAAATAACCATTATAAACGTAACAAAGTAGGATACAGTTTCTCCTGATTAGATGATAAATTGATGCTGGGATTCATTCGTTGCTTCATGTAAATTATCCCACTAGATACCGTCAATAGCCAAACAAGGAAAGCAGCAGAGAACCAGCCAGATGGGGATTGTCCCTTTTTATTTGAGTTATACATTCATTTTATCCCCCTTTTGGGGTTGGGAAGGGGACAGAATTGCCTTTTCCCTAATTTCCTAAGGCATGAAGGCAGCTCCCAGCACAGCCTGTGGGCATATGTATTAATGCACATAGAAGCATGTGGTGTATGTCAGTCCTCTGTTAAAGCTTCTGGCAGAGGAGTCAGTTGCACAACTCCTGAAAACAGGAGGCTGTTTTCTCTGTTTTCCCTCTTTTTCTCTTTTAGAGAGAGACCCTGTTAGTGGTCAGATCGAGGGACACGCCTGTGAGTTCACATTTTAGCAGTTTTTAAGAAATCTGCCTCAGTTATTTAGGTAAGAGGAGGCACTTGTTGCCTCCAACCCCAGACTTTTGCTAGGCATCTACATAGTCATTATCCTGATACTGGCTCCTGCCTTTCCAAATGGGTTAAAAAAACCTACCATATTCAGGATGACGCTTCCATGCGAGCTGTGGTGCTGCTGTTGGACGTGCAGAAGTGCCCAGCAAGGACATCCCACCAGCATGGAGACATCACCTGAGGTGTTTTCTGCAGGTATCCCCTGCCTGGTCCAGCCCTGCTTGTTCTTATGACCTCCCGTGTCTCATTTTTGGGTTTTCCTCCAAGTTTCTGCTGCCCAAATTACCCATGTTTACGGGAGCTGCCTCCAGACAGGCTCATCCCAGCTTTTGTCCCCCTGTCCTTGTCCCCACTGGGTGTCCCAGAGGAGCACACTCGTAGCTCAGTTGTGCTTTGGAAGCGACAGGCTGCTGTGTACAAGGTGCACAACGCTGGGTGCAAGTGAGCTGGGGCTTGTGGGCAGGACTGTGGTTCCTCCTTGGGAGGAACCAAACCTATTTATTGATTTATTTATTATTTTTAAGATAACCGTGTATTTTTAATTGCTCCTTTAACTGCTCCTGAAGTCTGCAGTAATCCTAAAATGCAATAGGCACTAGGTACCTTCCTTGGCAGCTTTTATGTGTTGCTTACTGTCACAATAAAGAGAGAATGAATTTTAAAGCTGTTTTGAAAACATCCACAGGTTAAAACAGCTTAACAAGGGACCTAGTAAAATTCAAAAAAGAAAAGGAAAAAAAAAGAAAAGAAGTTTTTTCTGATGTTTTGGGCATCAGCTCCAAATCTTGCTATGGATGAGACCATTTTCAGCCGCTGTCAGGCTTGCTGCCTCACCACCTCTCCGGGGAATCAGGTTGGACATTCAGCAGCACATTTACCCAAGGACTGTGTGGAAATAAAGTCTTCAGTTTGAGCCCGTGTCTGAGGCTCCCCTGGGTCATTTCCCTTCCTGGGAGCTACATTGAAGGCAATTTTTGACAAAATGTCAATGCCATATTTTTCCTGTGTAAGTTTTGATACATAATATAATGCTCAGCACTTCACCTGTATGAAGTTGGTAGGGAAAGAGGCCAGGCACCTGTGGGTTTGCCTGGGGGAACAGGAGGATGCAAAAGCAGCGTCTCCATAGGGTCCCAGGTCCCTTCCCGGGATAGAGACCCGTGGAACCTCCGTCTGGGCCACCCTTTCCCTCCCCCCCCCGCATTCCCTCTCCCTGATCCAGCGGCAGATCCTGGGCCTGCAGCCTGGGGGGTGATTTAGGAGGTTGTGTTATTTGCTTCCCTCATTCTCCCCGGGCACAGCTGGGCTGTTTTGCTTTCAGAGCTTGGACAGGGCACGTGCAGGGCGCTCCGTTTTTTTATCTCCAGCTTTCTGGTAGGTTTGGGCCTGCGTGGCTTTGGTGGTGTTCGTGCCCAGGGTTTGCATCAATGCAGTACCTGCCCCTTGCAGGTATTTGCACCTTGCTGAGGAGGAACTGGAGGGGATTTGCTGGGAAAATCCGGGATGCGCCAGGAGGATGGTTAGGCTGCAACGCAGACGTCCCCAAGACCCTGTATGGACATGGAAGCTCTGGAAGGAACAGAGGGGAAACCGTGGGTCTGAAATCAGGAGCAAAACTGGGATTTCAGCCCCATGAGCTGCTTTTAGTGGCCGAGGAAGAGGTTAATTCTGGCTTTGCTAAGCCAGGTGATGCCAGTGTCCTTGGGAGAGCGTTTGGGGCGGAGGGAAAGGCCAAAGCTGCTCCTGTCCGTGCAGAACTGAGCTGAGCATCCTCCTGCCTTTGCGAACATCAGTGCTGCTGGGCAGTAAACGAGCAAAATCGGGACGCGTTTCCAGTGCATCAGCTTATTTCCCTTTTGTCAATCTGGCAATAGGTCGAAACTTTCTTAAGATCAAATAGCAATAAAAAATAAGCCGCCTTTGCCAGCGCAGGAAAAGCCCCCTCTGAGAGGCTTTCTGCATAAAGCCCAAGGGCCGTCCCCGGGGCTTCTTGCGTGCTCTGGATGATAGCTGCAATTCTACAGCAGTAATGAACAGCAATTACAGGTTGACTTGCCTCTTCCTTTTAAAATATATTGTTTACCGGAGCTATCAAGATTTAAAGTTAACTGTGCCATTTTTCTCATGCCTGGCCCTTTCCATGGATGGTAATGAAGTAATAACGTGCAGAAATAAAATACTGTTTATTCAGCATTTAAAGCAACGATGCCCTTCGTTCTGGGTGTTTTCTGCGTAATGATGGGGCAAAGATGCCTCCTCCTTGGCAATCCAGCAATTAACAATAACCAGATCGCTCAATTTGAGGGGAGAAGTAAAAGAAAGGGGGGGTAATGGCTTTCTCTCAAAGGCAGCAAAGGCTGCAAGGTGTCCCAGTCCTCTCTGTTCTGGGCAGTGACCGAATGCCAGCTGTAATTTTTAATTTAGATCCCCTTTGTTGCGCCCGTCGTTCCTTTAATGTATTTGTGCACATTGGATGCATTTAAAAGACGCATTTGAGTAGCGTTGCAAAACGCTTTGGTGTAATGTGCTCTAAAAAAGCCAGGTATTAGGCGAACGTGAGTCTTTTGGGGGCAGTTTTTCATCCTGGTGGAGAAAGCAAACGGAATGCCAGCTCGCCCTGGTGTTATGTAATGAGAACCCCCACCCCAAGTGTGGGACCCACCGGCAGGTACAAGAGTTATTTGGGAGCAGATGTTGCAAGAATTGCTGTAGCATCAGAGAACAGCTCTGGTCCCGGGGATGCGGTTGTAGCTCTGCATGTGCAATGATTATTTTTATGCCGTTAAAAATATAAAGCTGTGTTTTTATTATCATTATTATTATTATTATTATTATTATTATTATTATTATTATTATTTTCTAATGAGACACAACCAGGTTGTTAAGAGACAATTCAGTGTAAGCTCTGCCGTCTCTAAGGCTTGGAAGTTATTGAATGGAGCATTCCAGGCTTTAAATTAAATATACACACATATACACACACACATACAGACGCAGTAATGCTGCGACTTGAATATTTCGGGCCATTCTTTCGCAGAGCCTGCCCACACCTTCACTTATCTGTTCATAAAAGTCTTGCGAAAACATAACAAAAGATATTTTGTGCAGTGACATCAGAGGGAGAAAATATTCTTAGAAAATTTCATGCTGTTAAATCTCTACAGATTTACAGTTTTATCCAGTCAAATTAATGCAAAACCCCAATGCAAGCATTTGGATTTTGAAAACTTTGGAGGAGTGTCATTTTCTAATAGTAATTATTGGTTTTACATTATTTTTTCACAGGGGAGCTGATCACAGCTGCATATGAGCTTGGAGTAAGTATTAGTTTTATTGTTTAATCAATGCTCTCATTAACAGTTTTAGGAATTAAGGAAGTTTAATTAAGCATGGAGTAAAGTAGATTAATTTATTTTCAAACCACAGTTTTTACTAACTTATAAGTACAGCACGCGACAATTTACTTCAAGTTTTAAATCCAATTAAACTAAATTATAAAGCAAAGGCTTTACTGTATATACAGTAGCTGGCTTATTATCAACCCAAATTTTGTATAAGCTGGGGAGAATAAAATAAATCGGGTTAACAATTTTAATAAGTTTTATTATTTAATAAACTTTATTATGGTGCATGATCCCTTTAGGCAAGACCTTAGGACTGTCAGCGTGGTGGTAATCCGATAGCAGTGTGGTCTTTCAACTTGCTAACCAATAAAATAGTTCAGAATCTGCTTTTTAAAAAACAGCCTTTTGAATGACCCTAATATACTGTGAACCCAAACAACAAGCCGTTTAAGGGACGATAATGAAATGTGTCACCTCCTTTCTCGGCGCTTCATTATTATGGGCCATGCGTGGCAGCCAAATCCACTAAAGAAAATATTTGCTAAGTTAGAATTGGCATGGGAGGGTTGTTGCCGCAACGAGAGCCGCGGCGTCACGCGCCTCTCGCTCTGTCCCCAGGTCGCCCACCCTCCCGGCTACCCCCTGTTCACGCTGCTGGCCACGCTGGCCATGGGGCTCGTGCCCGGCGGCTCCGTCGCCTACCGAGTGAACCTGCTGTGCGCCGTGGCGGGAGCCGCCGCCGCCGCGCTGCTCTTTTACACCGTGGCCAGGTAAAGTCGCCGTCCGTGTCTTCCCCCTGGGGACCTGCCCGGGCGCTTCCACTGCATCCCAGGACGCTTCCAAAGTGCCCTAACTGCTGCCTTTCCCCCTCTGTTTCCAGCCGTAATTAGTTCCTCTGAATAAACTAACAGTAGTTTAATCTGAATTTGACCTTCTTTCCCGCACAAAAGATTTTGTCTTCTTTTTTTTTTTCCTCTTTCTTTTTAAATAATTATAATAGCAGTAATAAAAAGGGCACCCTCCGCCTCACAAAGGCGTGACAGGTTGTTCGCTCTCATTATCACAACTCGCTGATCAGTTTAACTAACCAGAACTAATGAAGTTTGTCATTATATAAAGATGCAGATGGTCTGTTCAAATTAACAAGATGAGCTTCACCTATGGGTAAACCGTGAAGTTAATTTAATTGCTCCTCTTGGCGGAGGCGGGCGGGCAGTTGCCTGCCCGTGCTACCTGCTCCCCTTTGCGTGCCCGTGGAGCCTCCCTGCCTGCAAAAACCCAGCCCTGCCACCACTTGCAGCCAGGGAGACTAGAAAATAGAAGAGAAAAGATCAATATTGGCCGTTTGTGCCTCTTTTGCTGAGGTGTTGCCTTCTGCGGGAGCCCTGCCGCAACCCGTCCGTTTTGGCCAGACCTCTAACCCTGCAAATAGCACACGAAAAAAAAGGGGAAGCGATCGGAGCCGCACGTGGTTTGGGATTTTGTTAACCCTCCTCGTTGTCTTTGATGTGGAAGTTCTTTCTGCTCTTAACCTCAGCCTGACCCATATTTGAGAGGATTATCACAACCAATACAAACAATTTCTAATGTTCTTTTACAGGGAAAATAGGGCACGTTGCTAGACTGGAAACGCCGGCGAAATCTGAAATTATATCAGAATCATTCAGGCAGTCTTTGAACGGAGGGACAAAACGCGGCGCTTTATAACTGAGATTATTTTGACAAAGCAGTTGGCTGCAACCGGTTAATAGAGCTACTTTACCCCTCGGGTAAAGCTGCCCTGCAACCTAGAAATAAAAGCAGGAATAAGCAGCAGGTCAGAGCCTGGGAGCCCTGCGCTCTCCCAAACTTCTGGGGAGTGAGAAGTGCCCCAGGCTCCACAGGATTTGTCTGTCCCGACGATCTTCCTGTTAGAGAGGAATTGCTGTTCCACTGTGAAACGTCATGCACCGTGGTCTTAGTGTCTGTCTGGTGCTGGACTCCAAAGTGTATTTGCAAACATACAGAAATTGCTGGAGCAGTTCCGAAATGTAAAAATATTTTTAAATTTAGGAATTGCTCAAGCAATACCAAAATATTTAGGAATTGCTCCAGCAATTTCAGTGTGTCTGCAAATGCACTGAAGGCAGTTGCTTTTGCTGTTGGATATGTGTAATCAAGTGAGTGCTTTTTCACTCGATATTCTGTGTAATAAGCATATTCTGGAGTGTTCAGAGTGGTTGTCACCGTCTCTCATATACTGCCCATTGCAGGGTCAGAGCCCAGTTCATTTTGATTACACTAAAAGCTCCCAAAGGTGCTGCTGAAGGTATGTGAGTATTTGCTTTTGATTTATTCTTTTTTTAATTATAGTTGTTCTTACAGTTCTGAAGTTCTGCCCAAATCTTTAGTTCCAGCTCAAACAGGACAGTTCCTTACGTGCATATTTTGTGTATAGGAAATCATGTGAAAGTTTTCGTAGCTTTAGAGAATGTGAAATGCAGTAGAAAATGCCAAGCTAAATTTGTGTGGTTTTTTTTTACACTTCTCAGGGTTTACTTTTTTATGTTGTTTAATTGGATTTGGAAGATACAGGCTCTATCAATTTGAAAACATGCATGAAAAACAGAAAATATAGTAATTAGAGATGATAGAGACTATTAAGACATAAAATTACTGCACAGACAGAAAGCACTGTCTGACAGTCTATTATTAAGTCTAACAGCAACTAATTTTTTAAAATAATTTTGAAGGCATTATGGGTCAGTATTATTTAAAAATCACAAGTCATGCTTTTCCTTTTAAACACCTTAAATTGAATTTTTGGGAAGATAGTCATTTATCAGAGTTGTTTTTTTTTTTCTCTCTCTTTTGCCATATCCTCAATAAAAACTCCTCCTGCCGATATTTGCTTATTGGCACTGCCAGCTCAAAAAGCTGGGAATACCGGAGCGCCCCACGGCTTGTTTTCAAGCTGCATCACAGCCTCTCGCGCCGGATCCCGACGGGTCTCTCCCACCCTTCGGCATTTGTGGATTTTCATGAGAATTTAGCCGTCGAGGCGACGCTTTTCCCCTCCCCGACAGGCAAAGGGAGGCAGCGGCTCGTGCTGCCCTCCGCGGACGGCCGCTGCTAATATGAAAAGATGCAGCTCTTCGGAGCACAAATAATTGATAAGTACACGGCCCTGGGGACCGGCAAATCCCCCTCGCCAAACAATAGGCACCCTTCGGAAAGCAGGGAGCCATCGCTATGGCAATGGGGCTACCCGGGAAGAAGACGTTATAGCCACGATGTCACTTGGGCTGTTACAATTTCATTTGGCGTGTGGCCCGCGCGTCACCTCCCAAACCTTCCTTCTGTCGCCGCGCAGCCACCGGCCGGCCGCGTTCACCACCGTGGCCAGGCAGGGACAGCACGGCGGGGATGGATTCTCCACGTGCACGCCCTGTAAATATATATATAAAAATATATTCCGCAGGCAGATTTATCCTTTAGTCTGGGGGTTGCTTAAGAGCCATTTCCCAGGTTTATTCAAGGTTGTTTATTTTGCAGCTCGATGAGGGAATTCTGATCGCCTCGGGAGCAGTGCTGATTTAGGGGGGCTGCTGCAGTGCGCTTGGGATTAGGATCGGGCTGTGCCCAGCACATTTACTCTTTAAGTAGCTCTCTCCTCTCCCAGGTAATTGTGTGCAGGGTGCTCTGCGTAGCCGCTGCTGGGATCAGTGGAAAGAACCTCATTTCTTATTTATTTCTTTTTTGCCATCTATTTTGCATCTTAAAGTTGTGTTGGATCGCATTCATGCACAGCGCTCTGTTTGTCAGTAATCCAGACCATCGCTGAATGAGCGTTTTGCTGTGTTGAATTAGTTACCAAGTATGTTTTTCCCCTCCACACAGTCTTAATAAATTGCTTGTAATTATCGTAAAATGGCATTTACAAAGAGTTTTCTTAGACTGCTTATAACTGATGCAAATAATTCATCTTTACTTCGGAAGACAGAGGAACTGCATTATGCTTTTAGGACGCAGAAAGTGCGACTACGTGATTGTGTCTTTAAATAAATATTTATTTTGTTTTACTGTGGGAAGCAAAGCATAGCAAGTTTACAAAGTAAACCAATTATGTTCTTATAATATGATTGCCAAAGTGTAATTTTCTGCACAGACGATGCATTCTTTGCATTTTCCTTTGCAAAGGGAAATTGTATGGTTTTCATTGCATTAAGGGCGTTTTTTTCATATATATATATATATATATATTTTTTTTTTTTTTTTTGCTGTATGTCCTTACCCAGTTTACTGCAGGTGCAATAGTACAGCAGAAGGCATCATTTTATAATTACTTTTTGCAAGTTTTTGGCAGCTTTATTTTGAGTTTGTTGCAAATAGGCTATTGAAGGGGAAAGATGTGCATTGCATCCAGTTCATCTTTTCAGCCTATTCTCCATTTATTATGTTAAGTGTTAGACTAGTGAATATATGTTGTTTTTTAGCTCCCATACCAGTGTGCTGTGCAAGATACTCTGGAAGTAGATGCAAACTGGATCTAAGTCTTCTCCCGTTGGTAACAAAAAGGAAATACTAATAATGCTTTATAATGAAATTATCAAGGTGCTTTGGAAGTGGCACTTAATATATTAACTTAGGTTTATTGCTGCAATTTCTTACACCCTCCAGCTCCGTGGGGAAGAGCCCTGATGACTTGAACGTGCTGGAGCATTAGGAGCATCTGCTACCTGTGCTGCAGTCTCCAGAGCGAGCTCAGGGTCCAAGGGAGGAGGTAACAGAGGCAAAACCGAGCGTGCAAGTTGCGATTGCTGCCCGTCGGAATGGGTTTGCTTCCAAAAAAACAAGCCGGGGCTGCAAAAAGTTGTCAGCTGCACGTGGCTGGTGGGAAACACACCACAACCCTCAGCTGAACGGATTTGCAGTAGCAAAAGTCCCACCGAACAGTCGACTTTTCATGTTTTGGCAGGATCTAGGTGTAAGAGAGGAGTGTTCCCGGCTTGTGCGTCAGCTCCAAACAGAAAGCGCCGGCACGGAGCCGTGGCAGCCAGCGCAGGGAGATAACGGTTAATTTAGCGCGTTGTCCTCACGGCGCAGCGCGCTGATGAAATTACACTTTAGAGTGCCTAACACGTTTGCCTCCTGATTATGTTGCCTTTCAGACAGATCAACTCAAGAGGATCTTTGCTGTGGGTAATGCAGGGATTCGGGGCAATTTTGCATGTTCCAAGAGCTAGATTATGGAAGCGAGTGTTAGGAATCCATAGCAAGGGAGGAATGTGTCACTCCAAGTAGCAGACGTGTTCTTTGCAGTTGTGCCACGCTTGACCATTGCTGCGTTTGGCAAAGAGCAGCGCGTTAAAACGCTGCGCTTTGGAGAAGAAGGAATCTCCTTACAGAGCATATTTGGATTTGCCAGATTACAGATTATTTTAGATTATTACCATTGTAGCGCAGTGAGGAGATCCCGACGGTTTCAAAAGCAGCTCTGCGTAAGTAACAAGTAGTTACTAAGTTTTAGGAGGGAGAGAAGAATGGAAGGTAGTCAAATATTCATTTTCTTTTAGAGGAATATCTACCGTGACCTCTGGCTAATTGATCATCAGTTTTTTTTCCCCCTCATAAGGAAACGGCATCGAGTTCAGTCCATTTAAAGACATTAACAAATCTGTTCATTTGCATTTTTCTGTAAAGTCGGCACATTAGGCTGAAATAACTGTGCTTCGTTTTGAAGGGGAAAGAAAAAAAAAGCAGGGCAAAAAACTCTTTAAAAAAAATAAAA